CCCTTTCATTCGCCTTAAGCCTGAAAAAGGTACCCCTTTCGAACGGAGCCTACCCATATAGGCCATTATTAGGAGTACCCCCCGGGATCCAATCTGACCCGTCTCCCAAATCGTATTCTCGCGAGTGATTTGATTAAATTTCCGTTGTTTAGCACAGGGGCGGATCAAGGATTTTTTTTAGGAGGGGGTGCACTCGTCTCTTGCTCTACTTCAACACCAATAAACCACATAGTTTTTTTTTTTTTTGCAGAATGCCAGTTGTATTAGAAAACCGCAGGTCATCTCAGGGGGGGGTATAGATCCGCCCCTGTAGCACTATGGTGAGATAATCATCTCTTTTGGTCCTAGGAACGTAACGGGGTTCGACTGAAGTTATTAGGAAACTCAGCCAACCACGACGGATGATGACGACAGTGAAAACGTCACTCAAAAAATGAATGTGCGTTCTCGTAAACATAACATCGCGTTGAATTGGCCTCTCCAAATATATCAGATGTGGGCGAATTCTCTTAGAGTTGAATTCTTAAGGACAGCATCCAAGTTCGAAAATAGAGAACAAAAATCGTAAACTGTGTTCACGTCCTTTACAAAACGTCGTTTTAGGAAGTTCCTCGTCGTCGTAGTACGATGGACGTCGAAGAAATAAACCAAACAGTTGGTTTGCTCATCCAAAACGAATTAATTGCTTTTGACGTTCTCGACGTCGCCGTGGTTGGTTAGCTCTTATAATCCCAGACTGAATGATGAAGTTTTGAAAGGCGGTTCTAACTTTTGACTATGGACAAAATCCTATGGTATGACCATTCAAATGAAACCTACTGAGTAGTACTTTCCTGTGGTACTGTTTATTATACTGTACAAGGTGGTTCTAACTTTTTTTTTTTTTTTTTTTTTAAATATGTTTATTGATAATCACATTAAATAATTACATTTACAAAACACACACACAAAAAAAAAAAAAAAAAAAAAATAGTCAAATTATTAAAGGAGGTGTTACAGGGCTAAAAGAAATTGTAAAAAAAGTACAACAGGGCAACGAAATAATACGGAGGTAATACAGTTAACTTAAATAAGGCGTCAGTATCCACTTTCTTTTAAAGAATTCTTTGTTGATTTTTTCTTCTGTTTCATGATTTTTGGCTTTAAATCTGGGTTTCATATTTTTTAGCGATGATCTTGGCTTTCAAATCCAAAAAAAACAAGAAAAGTTTGACTTAAACACAAAGTAAGCGGCTAGGATTTGTTTGCTCCTGAGAACCCTGAAATGTTTGGAAGGATTTGTTTGCTCCTGCAGTCCCACAAATAGAGTTTTCCAATAATTATAAAATAGTTCAGCAATTGAAGTAAAGGGCAAGCATTTTCCGTCAAAATTCCAAAGAGTACATTTTCCAAGCAGAGACGAATTCGTTGATTCGAAATAAGGCACCAATATAGTTCAAATTCAATCCAAAACTGTTTAGAGCGTGAGCAGCGATAGAACAAATGCGTTAATGATTCAGGTTGATTGTCACAGAAAGTACATAAATCATTTGTCCTATAACCTATTTTATACAACTTTGTATTTGTGTAAAGAATTGAGTTAATTACTTTGTACTGGAAGGCTTTAACATACGATTCGACAGCGATAGAGTGTGGCAGCTTAAATATTTGCTTCAGATTGTCGCTGTTAAAATTAAAGTTACTCTGTAATTTTTGAATAATATTGGGCGGTTTAGCTTTTTCTCTGATGAGTAGGTTGTAGTAATCCTTTGATTTCCCTTTCGTAACATCAAATTTATTGTCACCCACCACAAATGTTGGTGGGTTTATGGAAGGATACCTGTCATAACTTCTTAACGATAATGGAATGGACCTGCGTAAGCCAGCTCATTCTAAAATATTTGTTTTGCATATTTTTTTAGACAGTTGATTATAAGAATCAGTACTGTTCAGACTAAATAAAAGATCCTGAATGCAAATGACACTCGCATTAACATAATGTTTATAATAAACCGGCTTGTTTTCCACAAAATCCTATGGTATGACCATTCAAATGAAACCTACTGAGTAGTACTTTCCTGTGGTACTGTTTATTATACTGTACAAGGTGGTTCTAACTTTTGACTATGGACAAAATCCTATGGTGTGACCATTCAAATGAAAGTTACTGAGCAGTACTTTCCTGTGGTACTGTTTATTATGCTGTACAAGGTGGTTCTAACTTCTGAGTCTGTGGATGAAATCCTATGGTGTGACCATTTAAATGAAAGCTACTGAGCAGTACTTTCCTGTGGTGCTGTTTATTGTGCTGTATAAGGTGGTTCTAACTTTTGAGTCTGTGGACGAATTCCTGTAGGGTGAGCTTTCAAATGAAAGCTACTGAGCAGTACTTTCCTGTGGTACTGTTTATTATGCTGTACAAGGTGGTTCTAACTTTTGAGTCTGTGAACAAAATCCTTTGGTGTGATCATTCAAATGAAACCTCTTTGGCTGTACTTTCACTTGGTTCTTTAATGCTTTTTCAGCATTTTACAAAATGACATTTGGAAATTTTGTAATTTAATTTTGAAATTCGCCACTTTTGAGCTTGAATAGCTTGAGAAAACAGCCGACATTTCGCGACGACACCACTGGTTTCCCCGCGAAATGACGTCTGAGAAACCAGCGCAGAAATTCCATACTGATGACGCGTGACTAGCCAGATCTGGGTAGTGTTTCTGATTGGTTGAAGCAAATCCCACGAGGCACGACCAATCAGACGCACTACCCAGATCTGGGTAGCGACGCGTCATCAGTATGGAATTTCTACGCTCGTTTCTCCGCCATCATTTCGCGGGGAAACCGGTGCAGTTGGTGTCGCGGAAGTGTCAGCTACTTTTTCACGCTAGGGATTGAGAAGTTTTGGACATTACTGTTTTACTTATGTGTTGGGTTGTATTTACATCATCGTTTGACTATCACGGTATTCAGTAGACTGCACCATGTGGAGGTGTGGTTTTCGAAGAGGTGGATGCTGGACTTCGTCAGCACGGCAACACTTGCAACAAGAACACAATCCAAACCAGTCCTTCTTGAAGTTGGGTATATAATAGGCAAAAATCAAGGGATTGAATATCGAATTCAAGAACTTCGTCATCTCCGAGGCAATCGTCAGTATCAGCACAACATCCGAGGGAGCATCATCCATGACGTCATACGAGCGTAACATGGTGATTACGACGTTGGGTCCCCAGCACAGGACCACACCCAGACACAGGACCCCTAACATGCGTGTCAACTTTCGCTTGGCGCCGGCGGTCTCATTACTGATGGTACCGTTGCTTTTATCTCTGTGTAGGTAGGCATAGGTGATGAAAAACAGGGTTACTATGACAGCTAGGGGTGCTAGCAATGCCATGACAAAAAAGAGGGTCGAAGAGAGCTGTCCGCCCCAATTTCTTAGATAATCGCACAACTTGGGAACGCTGCAGTTTCTCAGTTCTTGAGTCACGTTTGAGCTCATTTCGGGGATTTCGGTGTAGAGGATACTCTCTGCGCTGTACGTGACAGGTCCAGAGCAGATAGCTGCGTATAGCCATACACCGAGCAAGACCAAGAATGGCGTGCGGCGTGACATAATGCCTTTTAAGGGAGAAGCCGCGTCACGGTACACGTCGACGGAGATGACAACAAGCGTGACAAAAAAAGCCGCACCACAAATGGCAGAGAAGAAATGAAAGAGCTTGCAAGGAATGCCAGCCTCTTCTCTGGTATACACTGTACTCAGGTATATCAATGGCCCCACTGTAGTCAAGCGAAAAATCAAATCCACCACGGACAAGTGAAACACGAAAAAGTTCGACAAGTTCTTTAACACGCACTTGTTGCGTATCATGATTCCACAGACTGTTGCATTAATGACGACTCCCAGGAAAATAAGAAAAAAGACCACTCCCTCGGAAATTCTCGCGATTTCTTTGGCTGTGCTGCACGTCATTTGCAGGGCGTCTCCATTGCTTGGTGAAGTTGTCATTTTTCAAAAGGCAGTTGGAATTAATGAAGACAGTCGTCAAGGGTATTTTCTAAACACCAGTATTTCGTCCTGTTGAAAAAAAAATCAGTATTTCAGTTCTCAGCTCAACCGTATCTTCCGTCTGAAACCGAAAAAAAGTACGAAAAAAAAGTTGAAACAGGATTGTTATTAATAAATATTGACACAAGAAACCGTTGAATTTTAGTCAGCCCAGCTCAATAACACGGCTAAAACTAAAACAGGTCAGTAAAATGTTTCGTCAGCATCGTCATGAACGCTTGGCAGCTATTTAGATACTACCTATTTTACTAAGAATTCTTTAAAAATTAAAAAAACATTCCACAGAAAGTCATCTCCGACCACTCCTTAACCCACCCATGACGAGGTTGCCGTAGGGGGCTGGGGGCAGGGCACTTGCCAGCTATATAGATACTAGTTATTTTACTAAGAATTCTTTAAAAATTAAAAAAACATTCCACAGAAAGTCATCTCTGACCGCTCCTTAACCCACCCATGACGAGGTTGCTGTAGGGGGTGGGGGCAGGACACTTGCCAGCTATATAGATACTATTATTTCCCTAAGAATTCTTTAAAAAATAATACAAAGGGAGGGCCTTGAACAACCCCTAAATCCACCCATGAAAAGTTTGTTGTAAACTTTGCCTGTAGCAATTTTGCCCATTTTTTTCACCCTGACAAGCACTAGCTGCCCCTGGCTCTGGCTTCAAGGACCCTGCTCCACCAACCCCCCCCCCCCCCCTTGCTCCCCAAATGAAATGCTAACTATAGCTTGTGTGTGACTGGGAAACCTGAACACACTGTTCCATCACAGGCCACCCACTTGCTAACTGACAACTATTATGGATACTTTTGTTATTTATCAAATCACTACCAAAACAGACATGTAATTCTTTTTAAAGGAAAGCAATTAGCTATGATTTAAGTTGTGAGAAAAGAGACCAGGAACTTCTTTTAGATTAATCACAGCAACCGATATAAAACAAAAGCACCAGTTAGAGTCACGCAACACTGCTTTGTCACATAATGATTCACCAGAAGTGTCAAGAAAAATTAAGCTTCACCCTTTAATTCTCGGTTTTCACATGACGTCACCAAAATTCAAACTAAGAAACTATCAATTCTTCTGAGTTTCTGAGTTTCATGAGGTATTACAGCACCTAAACACCTTTATTTAAACAAAGTTTTGGTTCGAAAGGGTTCTTCCCTTTGCGATAAAGGACGTTTGAATTTCTAGGCTTTTGCGTGAGGTAGCATTTAGCTGGTGGCCGGGAAGGCTCTTATGTGGGTTAAAAACATTACCAATTTTGGGAGATTTTGCTTTCTAAACATTCCTTGTCTCAGAATAAATATCACTTTAATCCTTTAAGAGTATTCATGCATTAGTAGGAAAACTCAAAAACAGATGTTTTTGTTGGTTTCGGGCGGCCATATTTGTGCCCCACAAAGGGACACAAACATGGCATCTCCATACGAAGCTTTATAAATTTGGGTAAAACTTTTTTCCCTATATCTCGCATATGAAATATCGCACAGACCTGATTCTAGGCGAGGCCTTTTGCATATTTATCTTCATTTATTTCCTATATTCTGGACTTTCTGAATTGAATGGTTTGCAATTTTATTTTTGATTGCGTGACAGTGAAAACCGAGATTCGCAGCCGTTTTTGTTTCGTCACGGAGCGTTGCGTGACGAGACAAAAGCGGCTGCGAGGGAGCTGGAGACTACGCTTTTTTAAAAATCAAGGCATGACAGGCCACAGTTCGACAGATACTTGTGATTGGCAAAAGCAGTCTTAAAAGTTGGCCAAACTTTTGGTTTTGCTGTTTTCTTATTGAAAGTAAATCTGTTCGGTAGCATTTTGGCATGGCTTTTGTCTCTTGACTATGTTTGGCTTTTGGTATCATTTCCGTGGGAGGGATGAGATCGAGTTACCTGCAAGAGTAGACGTGACGTTTTTCCGGAATTCAAGATCTGTTTCAGCAGGAGTTGGTGAACACGATTATCCAGTTAGAAACATTGCAAATGCACAATCTGAAAATATTCAATCCCAAAATCTACAGATAAAATACTAATCCAACAACAACAAAAAACGGTAAAGAAAAACAGCAACAACAAAATAAACGATTCCTTACTTGTCACGCCAACATATTTGGAAATAAATGTCACGATATATGCGGAGCCGAATTTCATTTTGTAGTCGTAATTTTCTTGTTCGAAAAAAGATGCCCTAAAGCCTGTTTACGAAGGAAAGGTTTGAGGCAAGATTTAAACTTATAAAGGCAAAATAGAAGCGTTTCAAAGCCGTGCTAGGCGGCACGATCTCTGCAGTGACGAATTATATTTTAAAAAAATGCGCAAAATACCGCAGGATGTATTGTAAGTTCTAGCGACCAATTATTGAATTACTGTTGGTGTAGAGTCCATTGCCCTCCTGAGAAAAGTTTACTGACGACCGCGGAATGAAATTCTCATCAGAGTTCGGACCAAGGGATTTTGCAATCACTCATAATACACGGTTCAAGACGATATATGAACTGGTCTCCCTTTGGCTTATGAAATTTACATACCTTTCTTGATACAGTCGTTGTCGGTGAGGTCGCTCAGTGTTTTTTCATTCTTTGTTTCTGTAAACCTCGCAACGCACTACATGTTACACTACAGCCATCAGACGGAACCATACTCGAGTCATTTGCTCATTACATGTAAAATTTGATACGCACGAGTGACACAGCTCCCAGAAATAACTCCACATGCACGTCACGTCCCGTAACGCAAGCGAAATAACGTCTGTCACTGTAACGCAACGAATTGGAGATTGAAAAGACTCTGAACAAGGGTCAAGCTATTTTTAATAGAAAGAAAAGTACACTTTCCTGCTAATTTTTGTTGCTGTTGCTTGTTTTCGCTAGGCCAGCTTACTCGACTAATTCAACTAATTAGGACGTGCAAAACATTACAAAACGTTACAGTTCTCATTCATTCATTCATTGATATTAATTTGGTTCTTAATTCAAAGCATTGCGAGATAAATGAAACTAGTTGACAGTTATAATCAGAAGAATTCATAAGAAGAGATATTAAAGTATCGTGTGAAAGTGATTTGAAGTCAGGTATTTTAGTTTCTAGTTTGGAGAAAAATATGTCTCTGATCTGCGAATAAGCCTTATAATCTAGCAAGAAATGATTTTCATCTTCGATTTTGTTTCTTGTACAAAAGTGACATATCCTTTCATTGCGAGGAATGTTTTCGTATCTACCAGAAAGTCGGTGAAAGGAGAGAGGGGGGCTCGGGATACCCCATTTACCAAGAGAGGGACCCGACCTCCCACCCGGAATCCTTTGCACATACAGGCCATGCTCTTTGCTTGTTTGTTTGAAGCCCTAGGGATTTTTGAAATCCAGAGTACACCTTCTCCCCGGGCATTCGAATCATACAAGCTCCGCTGGTCTCTCTCCCTTCCGGCGTTTGCTTATGGGGAGAATATAACAAAACCTCTCCCTTTTTTTTACTTTAGCATTTTTTAATTTGTATGTTATTCGGATCAACAAAATGGAGGCGCAATTTTTTTTTTCACTTTAATATTTCTTAATCTTTCATTTTATTGAGACCAAAATATTATCGCTCCTCTACTCTCATCATATATTTAAATAGACCTTTGTCCTAAAATTTTCGATTCAAAAATGTGATGAAAGAAGGTATCTGAAAAATTATCTCCTTCGTTTTAAATTGCATCTAAAATTTTCGGGAAAATAATTCTGAATTCCTCGTAATTTCGAAAAGCGGCAAGTTCCTTTTGGCTCAGGAGACTGAAATGCAAATTTTATAGCGCCACTTAGAATGATTTCTATAGAGCTAAAAGTACTTTATGAATAGCTACAGAAGTGTTTTCAATTGAAAGTATTTGAGGAAACAGTCGTTGGGTGGCCCTGTCTCGTTGCCTTCTCCGCTTAGCATTACACGATATATTTTATATTTAGTATGAAAACTATAAATCATTAGCTTCGCTTTAAGCCCTCCTGACTAAATTTATGTAAGCGCTGTTTAGAATGCATTTTCGATCAAAAGTACTCTGGACAGCCTTAAATGTGTTTTCAATGCCTTTAGGGGAAATCATCGATCCCCCTGAGGAGGGAGATATCGCGCACATCCGATATCTTCAGCTGGCTGCCCTGGGCCTCGTCCTCCTTCACCAGTTTGGACAACATATTATGGAGGACGTTGTTAATCTAAGCAAATAAGTCTGGTAAAAAAAGCAGCTGAGACAGCGAACGTTAGCAGAATTCGAACTTGAAAACCAGGGGCTTTTTCGCCTTTTGTTTTCTGGTCAAAACTAACGCAGCTACCGCCCGAACGCGGTCGCTAAGCTTGAATATTCCCCGTATTAAACCTGGTCGTTTGCGGTCATCACAAAGGGGTTGTTGATGAGCGGATGACCAAGCCCCACGTTACCCCCCCGATGGTTATTTGGAGCATTCGTCGATTATTCTTTTATAGTACGGCTGTTTGTTTTGTAGCCTCATCTATTGAACAAATAAAAAAAATAGCGCACGTTAATTTTGGTTTCCATGAGATCAATATGTGATGTCGTTTAAAAAAAGTCTAGCGACCTCCTCGCCTGTGTTGCGACCTCAAAGATCAAAGTAGCGAACTTATAATGATTCTGAGGAATAAAGTCTTACGATAGAAAGAAAATCTATTTTTGCCGTCGTACGTTGTTGCAACGTTTGATTGCCACTAACGTGGCCAGCATCTATATGCAGATTTATTGGAACAAAGAAAGCCTTTCTTTACATATTAACATTAATTAAAACTTCCAGAGCATTTTTCTGGTTGGTCATTTCGTTTTAATCTGTTATTTTCTTAACTTGAGGGTTGTCAACTTGAATCTGAAGTCGGCCGTTTTCCCGTGAAAGTGATTAATTAGTTCTAAAGCTGTCGAGGGAAGCATTAGTGGAAGTGTTGTTTCAATTGCTAAGGTCTCTGATACTGTACCTGACTCTTTTGACACACTGAATATTTCCAGAAAATGCTTTTAAAATGTTTATAACCTCTCTAGTTGATAACTCGTACACTTCAATGTCAGAAACTACCTGTTCAGGCCCCGGTTGTTGAATCGTTGGATATAAAACAGTAAAATAGTCACTGTTAAGCAGATAAGTCTTTGCAAGAAGAAACTCATCAGGAGCACCCAACGACGGTGTCCTCCTAAATGCATTGAAAAGTCTTTTTAGGCTTTCCGGAGTACTCTTAGATCTCTAGAAATGCAGTCTAAGCGGCGTTATGCATAAAATTGGTGTCTGTTCGGTCATCCCAGGGGAACTTGAGGCTTTTCGAAATCACAAGGGCTCCAATGTTATTTTTCCGAAAATCTTAGATACAATTGAACGTTTTCGAAAGTGAGAATTTTTCATATTCCCCCTTCACCACATTTTTGAAACCGAAAATTTGAGGTTTACTTTTTCTATTAGAAAAATTAAACTTAGGGCATTGTTCGAACATGGGGTTAGTGAAATTTGAACTCAGATATGATTAAAAAGCAAATTCAAATTCATTAAATCTGATTGGATACTCTAAAAAGAATAGAAAATTATCCGTGCTTTTGATAAAAGATAAGGAATTGTTTAACCCCAGACAAGCTACAAAAAATTGAAGGGAATTGTTTAGATTAGCCTGCAATGCTCATCTAGAAATTTTTAGCCGTCCTTAAATAATAGAAAGTTGTAAGCAATTTTTCCCTCTCCGAACAGATGTTTATACAGCACAGTCGCTTTTTGCCCCTGACTATTTGCGTTACCCAAGGGGGTTTTAGGTGGACCGAGGGGGCCGCAGCTACCCCTTTTTCTTTGAAATTTTGTATTATTTTTATAGAATTCTCAGAAAATAAAAAGTATCTATATGGCTGGCAAATGGGCAAGTGTCCCGGCCACCCTTTCTGAATTTTCTGGATCCGCCTCTGCTATCCACTGGGAAGAGAGTTCACGGCCTAGTCATGGGCGGATCTAGGGGGAGGGTGCAGGGGTGCACCCCCCCCCGATGACCTGCGGTTTTCTAATACAACTGGTATTCTGCAAAAAAAAACTATGTGGTTTATTGGTGTTGAAGTAGAGCAAGAGACGAGTGCACCTCCTCCTAAAAAATATCCTGGATCCGCCCCTGCTAATGGTAGCTTTCTCTCACTCAGTTTTGAGAGCCTGGCTAGTTAATTCGAATTCACTGAATTTGGGTCGGGTACACAGTTGGATTACAGTATCACTTAATTGCTTTTTTTTTGCTTATGAATGGAGGATGCTTCAAAGGGGCCGAGTAATATCCATGGCAACCCGCGTCACTCAAAACGACCGACAATGACAGGAAAATTCTCCACTCCAGAAAAGACACCGGCAGGAAAAATATTGATAAATAATCAACTTCGTGTCCTGGACGGCCAATGCAGCTGGCACAGAATTATCGACTTTTTCTTCTGTCGTTGATCAATACACGGTAAGCACTATTTTAAATTGTAGTCTAACTTTGTTCTCGTGAAGTTTGTTTAAATGCCGACATGAAAGACATAATTTAAATGTTTAACCTTAACCTTAAATCGTAAAAAAACAACTTACGTCGCTCGTGGAAAAAAAGATCGATACTGTTAGTACATCGGTTCGTTGAAGTAAAGTAAAACACAATTCGTTTTCATGATGTGGCATGGATTTCAAACAAGTATTCTATGCGAAGTTTAGCCCAAAACACACGATGCCAATATTCCGTACGATGGTGAACGAAGATTAAATGTAGACCATTTAAAAGACATCTGAGTAAACTGAACTCAATAACTTAAAAAAAAAATGATCGTTCATTTTGTCGTCACGGAAAATGAACGTTGTAAGCTGTCCACATGCCAGAAACCGAGGAGCAGAACGCCAACTTAACAGCGATTAGCATGATGGAAGTAATGACTGTATTCATGTCTAAAAACAGCAAAAAACTGGTGCGTGTTGTTGGAAAGTTCATTCCCAGTCCATATGTGATTACATGTAAATTGAACTTATAATAATACAATGATGAGAATATTTGAATTCGTCTCCTTTGTCATATCTCTTCTTCCCGAATTTTTCTTTTTTTGAGACGTTTGTTGGTAAATTATGTTAATTATGTTAATTATGATCCATAAATAGCAATCGAAAGAGTAGTAGCTCATTGATAAACGGTATACATGATTCGTTCGACATGATTAGAAAACTGGTTTAAAGTCTGTTATATCAGTTCAGTTCAATTTTTACCAGTTCCAGGATAAGAATACCCTACGCTACGAAGGGATAGAAACCACTGCAAGCAACCGCTTCTTCTTTGATCGAGCCGCCATCCAGCGCCATGAGAAAATAAATAAACATTTTATGCAACCTCTTCCCCAGGGCGCTTTTCCCTGGCTTTGGAGGTGGGGCAGGATGCCATTTGATGATTTGACGTAAGCATCACGTGGAAGCGCATGCTCGATGGAAAAGCAAAAGGTTGTCTCCCTTCGTAGCGTAGAGTAGAACAAGAATGAGTGGAGCTTAATCTTAAAAAATTGGTCATTCGGTCATTCAGGCATTTCCAAGTTCACCCACACATGCCTGTCCAGCTTTGATAATCCAACAATGTTAGATGATGAAGTTTTTTCAGGCTTTCTTTTTGCAGCTGCAAACGTTACGTATATAACTGCGATGATCATCCTTCATGTAATGTTAGATGATTTTACATGGACCAAAAATGTTGGATTATGTTGGACCAACATGGTGGATCCAACAAACGGGGGCTTCAACACATTCAGGCCTGGATGAAAGGCTGTACTCAGGTTTAAATCTTTTCAGTGACTTTGGAGTTCAGAAAGGAGTGAATGGTAGCACGTTTTCGCTGTTATCTCGGAATAAAATCAATGGAAAAGACATAGCAGATGAACATGCTTATTTGGAAGGCAATACTTTCTCCAGCATATCTATTTTCTCAGTTTAATGTTTAAAGTCGAAAAGTTCTGAAATTTATAATGATTTATAAAATATTTTACAATTTTATGCCCAAAAAACCACATGACCGCATAAGTGAAGAAATATACCAAACAACAATAAGCATTTTCCTCTTCGACCCAAATCATCAAGTGAGTGTTTCAGTGTTTTTTTTTTTTTAGGAAAACAGTTCAGAAATGGTTCGTGAAATGATCACGTTTTCGTAGTCTTGAGGAAAGAAATGACAGTTTAATTCGGAAACATTTTTCTCTTTTCAGCTTGTCTTCTCAGTGAAATTTGCTTGTTGGATAGACCGGGTGTGCAGGTGTGAAGCTTAAAAAAATTTTAAGGAAAACGTTCTCCATGAATCTTCAGAAGGCGGTAGCGCTGTTGTTCATCTCTACGTTTTTGTACGTAACATTCTTGATCTTTCATCCCGGCGTTTTGTCAGCTTTACCGAATATACTTTCGTGGTCATACTCCGAGTACATTGATAATCCTTACGACGATTCAGCTCGCCGCAATCTCGCCTTAAACATTTCAGAAAACACCGGACTTCCTCTGCTTAATTTTAAAGATCTGGGAGGCAACAAGGCCAAAGTGTTGCTCTTGGTTATTGTTAGCACTGCACCACAAAGATTTGACAGAAGGCAGGCAATACGGGACACATGGTGGAAGCACTGTGCTGGGGATCAGGTAAAGCTACAGAAAACGTGCAACAAAAACGCGTAATTTTTTTTTCCTCGCTGCAAAACGAGTTGAATAGCGATTTCGCACGTTTTACCACCCACGTTTGAACCTGTCTTGCAACAAACCAGGTTGTTGCCAGTTGTGTGAATACTAACTTCTGATTGGATAAAACTACGCAAAAGTCACTCGAGAGCTCCTGACGAGAGTTACGTCAATTGCTGAAAAACAAGTTTGCCCGGTGGCCTGTAAGACTTGCTACGTATACAGATTTTGCTGCAAAAAGGACAATGAAACCTCTATTAAGCGGACACTAAGCCGGGTCCCGAAATTAACGTCTTATATTTCCCTTTATAACGAACCCCTATTCAACGGACACCTCTATTAACCGGACGGGGACACTAAAATAAGGTGTATTTGGCTAATTTCTATTGTTAAAAGCCTCTATTAAGCGGACACCGGACTGAATTGACAATAGTAGTATTGGATTACGTCCTTGAAATACGGACTGAAGTCAGTTAATGTTTTTGCATTTACAAACAAATTAAAGGTGGTAATGAAAGGTAATGAACTTGACCTCTTGCAACTTTATCCCAGTACAGGGTAACCGTTGAATGTTGATCGTTAACAAACATTGCGCAACTTTTACAAACCTCTTTTAAGCGGACACCCTCTATTAAGCGACACTTGGGAAGGTCCCGAAGGTGTCCGCTTAATAGAGGTTTGACTGTACTACTTTCCGCAACAAAGTTTTGCAACCTGCGACAAACTGGGTTGATGCAAGACAGGCTTTAATGTGGTTAGTAAAAAGCTCAACATCGCTATTCGACTCGTTTTGCAACAATGTTGCAAAACAAGTTGCACGATTTTGTTGCCCGATTTACAGTCCCTCGGGACTAGCGTAGGTGTCCCCTTGCGGGTTATGTCGGCCTGTGGGAAACTGGATAAATATGAAGCGCTACAAGGGATCAGTTGGATAAATTTGATATAGAGAGTTACTGCTGACTTATTTAACTAAAGAACTACGCCATTACTAATCAAACTGTCCCAATGAAATTATATATATTTATCTTGTGCTCAAAAAGAGAATATTAGCCCTTTTTAGTGTGATTGTGAGTCAGCTTAAGGGAGGTTATTTTAGCTTACGCGGATCTCCACAAGGATGTGGTTGCAGCTGGTCGATCTGCGTTCTTAAAACCGATAGCGACTAATAAAGAATGATTTTCCTTAATTTCAGCAGGTCAAGTGCGTTTTTGTTACAGATGGTCTAACCGAGGACGAGAACCAACGCACACTTATCCTCAGAGAAAGAATCATATACAGAGATCTAGAGTTTCAGCCATTGCTTGGAGGCCGAGAGTTCGGCCTTCGCTTTCTCAACCATATAAAGTGGGCCAAGGCGAAGTTTGACTTCCGTTTCCTCCTTAGGACTGATGATGATTACTTTCTTTGTCTAAAGAGGCTTCTGTCTGAGCTTCCGGTGCGGCCAGATACAAGCCTGGTTTGGGGAAATTTCCACTGTCAAGGTGGTATAACGTGGGTGGACGAATCGTTTATGATCTTCTCGCCCGATATTATTTATAAATTCCTGGCGCAAAACGAAAGAACGATGATGTGCCACCCTCACGCGGACCAACAAATCGGTCTGTGGCTGGAGAGCATTGACAGCAAATTGTTTTTTCACGATAGCAGATTATACCATCATCCACCGGCATCATTTTCCAAGAAATTCGAGAACGTATTCAACGTCTGCGATTCGTATTTAGGAATACATGGAACTTACGTGGAAAAGATGCGTTATTTTGGACGGAATGCCAACGATGGGGCAAAAAGCGTGGTTTCCATGGGAGATTTTGCAGATTTTTGTCCGACGACACATTTTGATTATCGTAAAATCAGTCCACCTTTCTTTTTTAAACCCAAACCTTGCATCACCAATCCAACCTGGAACTTGGAAAGAAATATGTACGGCGGCCGTGAAGAGGGACAGGTAGGGCAATAGTAGTGAGACTAGTGACATATAGCCTGCGTAGCAAGCTTTTCCGTGCGGTTTCGGACCAAAGAACGAAGAACGAGAGTCGAAGACCGCGCGAAAAATGGCGCTAGGAAAAGAGTGGGGAGGAGGTGGGGAGGAAAGGTTCCTTCCCCTCCCCCTCCCCCCCTCTTTTTTTTTTTTTGGTTCTCGTTCCATTTCTCGCGCTGCCCAAACCGAAAATCCCATTCCTTGGTCTTTCTTTTTTTCCAAAACCAAACGGAAACGCTTGCTACGTAGGCTAGAAAAAATACAGTCGAACCTCCATTTGCAACCACCTCTCGTAAGCCATTCAAGAACCACTAGTAAGCGATCACCTCCTGTAAGTGACTGCGGTCACGTTTCGGGACTGACATTTCAACAATTTTCCTTCGTTTTTAGCCTCTGCAAGCGTCCGCTTGACGCATTATCTGATCTCTTTATTCGCTGTATGTACTAGCTATGAAACGTAGAGTATAAGAAGAACTTTTAGCGACAACATGGAAATGCACTTATTGCAAACAATGAAGCCATTGAGTATGGCCTAGTCCCCAGGCGTTCTTTCTTAGCCTGTTGTCCGCGCGAAGTCTGGGAAAGGGTGGGAATTCTCTCTCGGTGACGTCACAGCTCACGGTAGAGTGCAGGTTTGACCGAGCCGAGAACGCGTAGGAACTAGGCTGCATTAGGTAGATCAAGAGCCATAATTGGTTCGATTCTTGTAAATGACCACTTCTTGACGGCTACGTCTTCGAATTTTGGGTGGTTACTAATGGCCATCAAGAGACGTTCGACTGTAACTACTGTAGTTGCCATCGCTCAGGGTTTGCCAGTTTGTGCATGACTGGGAAAAAATCTAACATGAGGTGATTGTAGTAATTAAAAACCTTTTTAAAACATGGAGCTCTTTTAATTGTTTACCATGATTTATCTATCGCCTCATGCGTATTTAAAGTAATATACTGATCTTCGAAAATCCTTTATTTTTCTTTTTTTCAATTTTCAGGGATGAAAAACTGGATTATTCTATCGTTTCTTTCAACAAGCTACTGACTCTTTCTTTGTTTATTAACGATGGGGACCGGGCTCGGATCACAAGAAGACGCTGTTTTTTCACAGGGGACTCTCAAAAATGGAGCGAGTTGAAAAATGAATGTTTTGTGGCAGCCATTTTGAATTTTAAACAGGCGGTCAACTAGAAGCGAGGAATTTTCGAAAACGGCTGGACGTTTTGAGAAAATAAACATCGTTTTGCTCAGTCGAAGGGCTCGCACTTGAGTCCGGATCCTTTAAATCTTTTCACGACTGTAAATTGCATTAGAAACCTATATGATAAAACTTATTGGTGTTTGACTCTCCCACCGACGCATGCGCAGCACCTACACCACTGCTTCCCGCGCTAATGTTAGCCTGCGAACAAGCTCTCCATTTGGGGAGTAGCGAGAAGTCACGCGCGACAGCCATAGGCGAAAGGAGACGCGTGTGCGAGGAGTGGTGCTTCAAAGTTAACGGCGAGGAAAGTTATCAATCGAAATATTTTTCAGCCAATGATAAATTGTTTCGTCTGGGCAAAGCAGAAATGAAAAATTTGTTAGTTTCCTCCGCCCTTGGTGGCTTTGCCGGAATTACTGCTCGCTCGCGCGTTCTCTCGCAATAATTGGAGGGCTCACTAGCAGTCTACTCTAATGTAAAAAAAAATAATAATACAATAAAATAACCTTATTTCTTTACGACATTATTCTCAGTAAGCCTCGTTCCCGGTCGTCCTCGTGATATCACCTGTCAAACTTGTCGGGAAAATTCATCACGTTCGTTTCCAGCCCTCTTCTGCTCATTCGGATAACTCGCCTGGGGACGAGGCAAGCCCGTTTCTCGAGAATCCCGATAGTTTCCCGCGCCCTAATCAGGTCCCGGTTGTTCAAACGTTGGACCATAGCGCTATACACCGGATAAAAGTCTATCCAGTGGATAACGCGATTAATTTCCCTTGTACTTGTCCGCTGGATAGCGTTATCCAACATTGAAACAACCGGGGCCAGATATTCAGATCAAATTCTATACTAAAGAAAAAAAGAGTGGTTGTCAGCTAACAATCCAGTTTATTTTGTTTTGTCAATTATGAATTGGTTCTTGCTTAGCGTGCGTATATAAATCGAGTTATATCTTCTTGAGTTCTTTCTTCTTTGTTGTCTTCGATTATTGGAGACTTAGTTGAGAGAAAAAGACGAAACTCCGAGTTTCATAGACAGAAATGTACATGTCATCTTATTTACGCAAGGCGTGCGCAAATAGAGTTTTTTTTCTTAGGGCCTGTTTACATGGAGTGCGGGACCCCGGTCTAGTGGGGTTGGTTTCTTTTGTTTTCACGCTCTGGGGAACACAAAACAAAAGAAACTTACCCCACTAGACCGGGGTCCCCCACTCCATGTAAACAGGGTCTTAGAAACTCGATAGGACTTATGTAGGGTAAGCACGCGCCCTATCTTATAACTGTGATTTTATCATGTTATCTACAAAACTATTGAAACCTCGATCTTGAACGTAAGCTTTCCAGGTGCGCTGATTTTCTGACTTTGGTAAGGGAACCATAATCTGCAAGTCAAAGTAGTCGTCTCAAAACAGAAACGCTTTCCAATTTCGGTAAAATGGAGTGAAGGGTTCCATGCTATCTGTCGCATTTTTTAATGAATGAAGCTTTTTCACTTTGTACACCTGTTGTAACTTTTGTTATCTTCTAGTAAACTTGTCGAGGTTTGTAATAATTTAGCTCTCTCTCCCTAGGCCCTCTCTTTTTTAAAATTAACTGCTTGTGCGCGCGAGTGTTGCTTTTTACCTTTAAATGACAAATATTTCCCCTTTCTCATACCTAGCGCTAGTACTGGTTTAGAGCGCTGCATGCGTCCCTTCAACTGCTGCAAGTTAAATGCACCGTCTCTTAAATATGACCAAATCACTAAACCACGAAGTTTTCCTGTCTTTTCTGCTGCCATAAAATGTGCCTGTTAGCCTCAATTTTACTGGTCCTTTCACAGACTGCAATGTCAATTTCCCTGCCCTTTTAAATACCTGACGCCTGAAAAAAAGGACCCCTTTCGAGGGGAGCTTCCCCGTGTAGGACCCTTGTGGGGTGTACCCACCAGGGGGGAGAGGAGGAAAAGCCTCGCGTCTATTCAAGAGACGTTGGGGATACCGGGCTGATTAGGTTAAAGGGAATGAAGGCAAACTCATTTATTAGGTTTTTATGGATAATGGAGAAAATTAGAGCATTTAAGGTTCTGCTTGAGGCTATTTGCGCTTTAGGGGATTTTTACAAGGGACATTTTGTTGTGTAGGTGAATTGATTAAAGTTAATTGGCCTTAATTTGTTGCAGCACGTCAAAAGTGCAAAAAGATAAAGAAAATTATGTTTTCGTGTGTTCACATCAAGCATAACATGTTTGTTCGCACTAAAAAAATTCACGTTGTTGTTGTTGTTGCGCAAGGGACGATAAACAGGTTAAAGAAATATACCAAAAAGTGTGACGCACGTGCAGCAGAAAAAGGCGCGAAAAATGTTGACGAGCGTCCGTTGAATTGTGAATTTTTTAATGAACTTGTTATCGAAGCTGGCGAACCGTGTAAACTAATTCTTCAGCCAAGAATTGGCTTTAAAAGTGTTGTTATAACTTTGGTCAATCCTTCAAACTGTTTCTTAACAATGTTTGAAGGGACTGAAAGACAAGGAGTAGGAAATACTTCTAAAAACTACTACAAGCTCTTGAGATTTGTAGAAGCACACGGTCGGTGTTATATTCATGCGCTGTCGAGTATGCAACCAGTTTTCTCGACTCGGCTCATTCAAGAAATAATCCACGCTGAACTGTATGGATAAACTCAGAGATTGGAATACGTTTTACTGATGAGAGACCTTACATACACGACTTTGTTTTATTACCGGATGGCCGAGAATCATTTGAAGTCATGAATTTTTGCGAAGTGAAAGTCACATCGAGTGCAGGTAAGCCCTATGATTTCGCTACTAATGCAAGCTTAATTATACGTTCATTAGTTAATTTTTACACTACTTAGAATGTTAAGATGTAGTTATTTGACAGGTTATTTAAACAGTTTTTCTACTGAAATTTGTTTTTTTGTTTTACATTTCATTGCACCTTTAATAGCTTTAATCTCAAATCTTGAATTAGCTCTTACACAGACATAATCGACTCTTCTCTTTGATTAAATTTTATAATAAAACTAGCTTGTTTACCTGTAAGAAAACTCTCTATAAAGGAAACATTTAATATTGTGGACATGGGAGGTTAGCTTGGCGAGTTTCATTCCTCTGACTTTTACTAAACTCTCTTATAGTCATCTCTCTACGAGATGTTAGTTGTTCGCTGGTCTCGGTCAAGTTTCACTGACAGGCTTATACTGAACAACAACAACAATGTATTTATTTACAGAACTATAAAGTTTACAATGCTTTATTCCCTACAAATAGCTATAATGCTAATCTAGGCAAGTCAAAACTTATAATAAAGGCGCTATTAAAATACATAAGAAAAAGGAAAAAAATAAATACAATAACATACAGAAAAAAACACCTTACATATAAATTCAAGTACAGGGATTTTGTTATTTGAAATAGACCAAAATTGCAACTGGAGGAGTATACAACTAATTACGTATCAGCTTCACTTCTTAAAATATTCTATTAAATAAGTAACATTCAAATACTTTTTTTCATTATCTAGAACATTAAGGAGTTAGTGATTTTTTTATACAATTGTCCGTCTGTAATAAAAGTATAGATGTTTAAAAGCGGACACTTTCAGTAAGTATAAAGTTGCAGTTTAGGTTGGTCAAACGAGTCAGAAAGTACTTCATGACCATGCCAAGGTTTTTGTTTTCAGTGTCCAAAGTTAAACTGGTTCTTAACATGTTGGTAATTTTCTGAGCTTTTTCATTTTTTTTCAAAGAAAGTTCTAGGTATTTGAGAACTAAAGCGAGCG